TAAGTGAAATTCCTTAAATACTTTAGAAAGCTGCATATCACGGAAACTTACCTCATGCCCCAATGTACCCATGTTTAAGCGACCATATACTGCTGCCACCCCAAATGTTTTCAGCGCTTGTTGCTCGAATTCGGACACATATTCTGTCGGTGGTCCACCACCTGTTGCCTTTGTATGCTCTACGACCCTTCGTGCTCTGCTCCGCAGCTGGTTTTTCCATCCGGTTAATGTCTGTAAATGAGGTATATATGCACATACACACATGTGTACAATCATAATTAAAAGAAATATATGTATCTATGTACATACATGAAATACAAATTATATAAGAACATATTTATGCATTTATGTGAGCAGGTTTGCTCCGTTCCGTCGTAAATATACAAATTTCAAAAAAAAACTTTCTTTCCACTTCGCTACCGTGCGGGTGGGCCCACGCATTGCATTTAAGTTCTCCGCTAGCTGCATCCACAGAGATTCTATCAATTTCGGAGAACTTGGCTTTTTTTTCCCGTTTATAGCTCCGGATGGTCCTTGCAAAATTGCACATAACACTGAAGCTGCTCCTGTGTGGTCGGATTTTCGGTCGGTGGTATTTTGGATGTCTGGAATATGTTAAAAGGTTTAAAACAACTAAATTTTAACTATTTCACATAAATACTCACTTTTCTGGTATTTCGCTGCTCATTTTTATACCCGAGCGCACTTGTGCACAAGGGTATATTAATTTTGTTCACATAACGGTTGTTTGTAACAGCCAAAACGAATCGAGATAGATATAGACAAATGTATACATAAATGATCAGGATGAAAAAAGAAATCGATTAAGCCATGTCTGTCTGTCCGTCCGTCTGTCCGTCCGTCCGTGTACACGATAACTCGAGCAAAAATTGAGACATCTCAACGAAATTTGGTATGTAGGTTTCCCTTAATCCAAGGTAGGTTGGTGTTGAAAATGGGTGAAATCGGACTTTAACCACGCCCACTTCCGATATAACGGTAATTTCCAGAAATGCGAAAACTGCGATATTTTAGTAACTACTGCAGATAATTCACTCAAAATTGATATTTACAATCATTTTTAGGCGAAAAATAAGAATATTATAAATTTTTGGAAAATGGGCGTAGCCACGCCCACTTATGGTTACATGTGTATATCTTGGTAACCGCTGCACCAATTTCTTCCAAACTTAGCACAGTTGTTGGCCTTCGCACAACATACCAAACGGCCGAAAATTTCTATAATCGCTCAATAACCACGCCTACTTCCCATATAACGGTTATTTTCAGAAATACGAAAACTGCGATATTTTAGTAACTACTGGAGATATTTCACTCAAAATTGACATTTACAATAATTTTTAGACGAAAAAAAAGAATATTATAAATTTTTGGAAAATGGGCGTAGCCACGCCCACTTATGGTTACATGTGTATATCTTGGTAACCGCTGCACCAATTTCTTCCAAACTTGGCACAGTTGTTGACCTTGGTACAGCATAAAAAATCTCCGAAACTTTTTAAAATCGGACAATAACCACGCCCACATCCCATATAACGGAAATTTAGAGAAATACAAAATCTTCGATAAATCAGTAAATATTGAAGCTAATTTATTCAAAATTGATGCTTGCAACAATTCTTTACCAAGAAATACGTTTATGGTAAAATTTTGGAAAATGGGGGTGGCACCGCCCACTTATGATCACATATATGTATATCGGTAACCGTTCTACTAATTTGTACCAAACTCGGTGTGGTTATTGTGCTTGCCACATATAAGCAAAAAGTTGAAAATTATTGAAATCGGACTAAAATAACGGCCGCTTCTCATATAACGGTAAATTTCAGAAATGCTTGAAACTTCAATATTTCGAATTTGGAGGACGCTAATTTACTCAAAACTGATACATCCCGGCTTACCATCTAGCGGAAGGTTTCGGAAAGGTGAAAAAACATATATTTAATACTTGCGCCGGGTATTTAATGTTCGGCTCCGCCCGAACTTAGACATTCTTACTTGTTTAATTTGAATATGAACGCTGATCAGCTGTTCCCGCAACAACAAACTTTTCACCATGAATGGTGAGTTGTAAAAGCTTTCACCTTGTCATCTTTGGTTAGGAATATCAGCAACAAATGGCAGTGACAATAAAAGATGGCAATTGTCCGCCGATGACAATTGTCAATCAAGGCAGGAATAGGGCTGTAAATTTTATTGCTTGGTATGGTATGCAAAAAATCCCGTTTTTCGATAGAAAATCTCATTCGCCCTTTTTAGTCATAACATCACGAAAAAAGGGCGAAATCCCGCAAACTGGCAATACTGACATACATGTATACTTACGTATGTACAAGAAAACAAAGAAATCAGTAAAAATAAAAAGATTTCTTATTTATTTAATTATGTATCGCGTACAGGGAAGTCAACTCACGGGAAATTCTCCCGCTTTGCAGGGAACTTCAGTTTAGGGGGCATAGGGGAACGGTCAGTTTTTTGCGGGAAATTGAATATGTTACGTTTATAACTTAAAGTAACCAAATTAGACGAATATGTTAACTTTTAACCATTTTTCGCTATCCGGAGCGACAATTTTTCAATTTGAATCATAATATCTCCACAACAAGAATTTTTCCAGATATAAGGTATATGCCAAATGAAAGCTAGGGTTTTGGGCTAGACTTGAGGAAACTTATAATAAAATCGACTGACCAGTTTTTGAGAAAATTCTCGAAATCTGTATTTTCAGCAGCCCGATTTTTAGTTTTTAAGCAATAACGTTATGACATATTTATACTTCATAAACGCAAAAGACCGCATGAGATAGCTTGTTTTAAGGCCCTTCTACTGATATCGACGTGAATGGTATGGAATGAGCAGTGCGGCCTCAGTGACCTGCCTTTTTTCGAATTTCAGGCACCAGCCACAAAGGAATACGAATCGAAACATCCTGGAACAAAACCATCCTAGTTTTTTTTGTACTTTAATTCCTGAAAGTTTTAAAAAAATTAAATGAAGGTACGTACAGATGCTACAAACATCGCAAAGCATCTCGTAGTGGAGACACGAACCAAAACACATTTAGCTCTATATCTTTACAACTAGTAGCCGGAACTCAATATATAAGGTATCGTTTGAAAGGTATTGCCCTATAGAATAACACTAAGTATGTCGGGTGTACCCTCATACCCCCTTAAACCGGCAAAAGCAAAATAACGTTTTTTGATTCGCAACACTTTAGCCTAATTTTTAAGAATTCAGATAATCGTTTATGAAACTTGAATACATTTTCTGGACACACTCTACAAGACCTTTGCAACGATACCTCAAACATGTCTCTTGGACGTCTGGATAAAAACTTCCAAATCTTGTGTATATGTATAAAAGCGAGTCATTTCAGCATGCTACTGTGGCTGCTTTCGTCACTCGCGCGCACTGCCGTGCGCTGTGATATTGTTGTTATACAATTGTTTTTGTTTGTGCGCAGTGATTTTGCTCTTTTTGTGATTTCTGCTGTTTCATCTTTGTCACAGCTGTTTGCGTTGTGTTTATTAGGTGTCAAACATACAGTGTATTTAAAACTGTTCGCTACATAGCTTTCAAATCGATATTTACCAGCTGATTGGTTCTCTGATTTATACGTCGTTTTCAAAACTGTTTTACTTTTTTGCTTCTAAAACCTATACATAAATATCATTTCAAACATGTCGTGTATTTACACCAATTGCCACGTTAAAAGCGACTCCTATGTGTCATGCTGGCTCTGCGATGGGATTGCCCATATAAATTGTGCTGGTTTGAGCGGTAGGGTGTTAGACGCTATTAATGAGGGAAAGGATCTTCGTTGGTCTTGTCAACAATGTTGATCAACCGAAGTTGATTTATTTAAATTCATTAGGCAGTCCAGAAATGGGTTTTCGAGATCGGGAAGGATCTGTCGGTTCTTGTTGAGAAATTTAGGCATTACGAAAAAATGTTTAAGTCTTTTACATGTCTCGATACCCTCCACACTCTGATTATAGCCGAGAAAATAAAGGTAGGCGTGTTATTAGTCCACTTAAAAAGATAGTCACTGAATGTAGTCAGAAAAATCCTCCATCCCAGTCCTTGGAACTTATTAATCTTTCTTCTCCATGCCCTCAGGCATTGCAACCTCCGCTATCTAAAGCCATATCAACTAGGTCTACATCTAAAAATAATAACGTCAATCAAACCGTTGATTTAACAGTGTTGCCATCAACATCTGAAGCTACACTGTCTAACTTAGTTCCTCCGAATAATTCGGAACCCTGCACATCAGACATCATTACCAAAAAGTTGGTTGTAATTACTCCGAGAAGATCAATCTTTTTGTCTAGATTTGCTAAAGATACTTCTTCGGATGATATAAAGTCATACAAATCGACTAAAATTAGAACTAAAGATGTATTTATTCGTAAATTTAATTTTAAATACGATCGCGATATTTCATCTTTTAAAATTGATGTAGCTGCCGAAGATTATGATTCACTACTAAATAGTTCATTTTGGCCGACCGGGGCGTTTCTTCGCGAGTTTGAGTATAAACCTAATAAAAGTAATAACAACGTAGCTAATATTTCTAAGCTTAATTCGGATTCAAAAAACTAACTCGCAAGTCTTATTTAAGTATTTACTATCAAAACGTTAGAGGTTTGAATACCAAATTAACTGACTTATATTTAAAAGGTTTTGACTGCAATTATAATATTATTTCTTTGACCGAAACATGGCTCAAACCTCATATTTTTAATTCCGAAATTTTTCCAAATGAATATCAAATATACAGGAGTGACCGCGAGGGCAGAATCGGCGGTGGTGTTCTTTTTGCGGTGCATTCATCGATACCATCCGAGGAAGTTAGTGTTCCTGTCATTGAATATACCGAATTTAAATGTATACGTGTACAGGCTGGAAAGATTTATATTTATTTAGCTCTTTGCTACATCCCTCCTAATTCTGCCGTATCAGTATATATGCAGCTAGTTTCTTTACTTGAGACCGTAAATGCAATGCTTACGGCATCCAATTCTATGATTGTTTTGGGCGATTTAAATCTGCCATACATTTCATGGAACGTCATTGGCACCGATGTTGTACCAGGTTCATCTAGAGAGAGTTACAATGTATTTCTGGAGGAAATGGCTGAACTTTTCCTCAAATAAATAAATATATGTCCAAGTAAGTCTGGAAAGGTCTTAGATCTCGTTTACGTTGATGTTGTTCCGAAGGCCTCTATTAATCGGTGTGATCCCCTAGTTTTGCCAGAGGAAGCATACCATTCCGTTCTTGAGTTATGCTACGAAATCATAAATGAAATACATAATAATAAGTCGTATAGTTCAAGTACTAGATATGTTTTCGCGAAAGCAAATTTCAGGAAAATTAACAAAGAACTTTCAAAGTTATCTTGGCCAATATATAGAGAAGACGTGGACCGTAGCATTGAGCACTTTAATGATACCCTTTTCAATTTGTTTCGAAAGCATGTGCCAAAACTTAATATTGTTCATGAAGAACCAACACAGTTATGGTTCACTAAAGAGCTTAAAAAATTTAAAAACAAAAAGTCACATTCTTTTAAACTGTATAAAAGAACGGGCTTACACAGTGATTACGTATAGTACTCAGTTTTGCGGCATAGCTACTTTGCATTAAATGTTATAATTCATATTTATGTAAAACTAAGAATAATTTAATTAACAATCCTAAATCATTTTATGGTTTCGTAAATTCA